GGGCATACCCAGTAGTTGCGACAACTGCCGTTCTAGTATCTAATGGGCTTAGCGCCTGTGCACAGCTACCTGTAAACCTCCCTATCCTTTCAACACTGTCTCATTAAATTCAAACTTTGGATCGAGAAACTCTGGGTGCGAACTTAGAGTCCGAGTCAAACACTCCCTATTGACATCCAGAGAGATCCGTGTGACTCCTGAAAAATTCTGCCATACTAACTATTTTGTCCGAGCCGCACGTGAAAATTACCGTATGTTTTCAGCAAATGTCCAAAAAAATTGCCAGATGTGCAACCGCATGAATCAAAATAAACACATGCTTTATTGTTAATTTTTAAATATAAACCTCCAGATGCGGACTCCCTCATTTTGCGCGACTCCTCTTTTGAGGAGCAGTCGTTGACTCCGTGTTCAAAAGTTAATTTCTACCCCTGATAGTGATACTATGGTATTTCTTCATATCGCTGTATGCACAATACAGTCACACAGAAAATTTCACCCAAATTGTAAAAAATGCAGTAAACCCATGAACACCCTGTATACCAAATATGCGTAGACACAGATATGCACCGTGTGTCAAGGTCTTACCACGTGTTAGTTTGATGTCACCATTCATCGTTATACTCGATCATCGCTTGAACAGGTGCTCAAACCCAGCCGCTTGGTTTATCAAAATCCATAATCGATTTCATCAAAAAAAAAATCACAAAATTTTAAACTTGAACAAGAAAACTGAAAGTGAATGAAATCAGAGATAATCATCGCTCTAATAACAAGTATATCCTTATTACATACAGTTATACACACAGTAGTAAACGCTGCAAAACAAATAGTACAACTGGCTAACAACACATTACATGCACGACGAAGTTCCGCACACGCATGCATTCAACATCCCCGAGTAACGATTGCTAACGATCATCGCGTTACTTGGGTCCAACCGATGATCGATTACGAAATTACAACGATTGCAACACTACCCGTGCTAGATTGATGCGGAGAAAACTAATAGCAGCAACCACCAACAACATTGACGTTATATAGCCTCATGTCAGGAAAAAAAGGGCTGTATAGTGCCTCATATACTATGACCGCGAGACTATGGAAGACCTGGCTGACATGCCGACTTTTGAGTTTCCAGATTTCTGCAATTTCTATCCAATATACTATACAAAGACTGTTGATACAGTCTAGAAAATGTTGAAGTCCAAAATGAACACCACTCTGGCACATGCGTTATTCCGTGACATTAAAGTCATGTTAATTTAGACATCCGCCTACACCGTGCATAAATGTGTATAATTTAAGAGAAAATAAACTTTATTTAGGAATCCCCTACCGTGAGACGAAATATGTTGCCCTTTAAGGGCGATAGCCCATAATTTCAAATTAGATCCCCTACCACTGGCAGAGTAAATGTTGTTTTCTATGAAGCGGGGAGAGTCATTAGCGGCCAATTTAATCTAGGAATCTCCGTCATAAGCGCCATGCCGCAATGTGTCTGCTTTCGGCTTAAAAACAATTTCTCAATGGCCGTGTTCTCACTGTTTACATTCTTCCTGTTCCCCTTGTTGACCTCCATCTTATACTTATATTACATACGAAATCAGAACACTCGGAAACTCAAAAGTCGTATTCGTATCAGGCACCTCCATAATATTACTACTGTTTAGAGTGAATTTTGTGGAACAATCTATGAGAAAATACATTGACTTGATGAATGACAAATAATATTTTCCAAAAGCAACAATAATTAATAACCTTGACCTTGAGTGCCAGCACTCTATCGTACAATACGTAATGCAAATTGTTTAAAGTACTGTTAACACTCATCGACTTGCGGGAAAAAATTAAAAATTAATTTTTGCGGTTGGCTACTTTCAAGCCTGTCCGTGCAATGAAAATAGCCACCTAAAATTAGGTTTGCATTGAACTCTATGCAAATTTACGGGCGGGCTCTTTTTGGCATTTCCCGGCTCTTTTTGCATTTCGGGGGCTAAATCGCCCCCGCAGCCCCCCCGTGTATTTTTTTCACTTCGATCTATGTAGTTTTACAAAAACATGCAGAAAATTAGTAGCTGGAGCAATGACAAACGCTTCTAAAAATAGTACTAGGACCTTGACTCCTGAGCACAGTATTCCTAAACCTAAACTTTTTGTGTTGAAAAATAAAAGTCCAACAGCCAGCAATGATATATTGAGAACATAAGCCAGGTATGCGCACACGCATGACTGCACGTATGCACACGCACGCAAGCAGACTCAGCACAGTGCCAGTTCCTTTCCAGTAACATCGTTGCGAACCAGAAAATAGCACAGTGTGCAGCCTTGTGCCCAACTGAGAACTATATCAATAGTAGCACTACAAACTCAATCTGGCCTTCATAATTAAACATACACAGGTACCTTTTTCACTAAAGCCCGGCGCACATTGCCGAACATTTTGCTCAAAAACATTATCGTAGCAATGTTCCATGAAATGTTCGCAATGTGCGGTGAAAAAAGTCGCGAACATTTGTTCCGAACAATGTTTCTGAAGATCGAAATGTTTGATATCTCAACATTGTTCGTTGAATGTTCGTCAATGTGCGCGAATGTCGAACAATTCTAGAACATTTGTAAAGTAGTAACCAATAGCAGCACGATATGTGGTCACATGATATTTTGTGTACAATATGGCGACTGCTATATCGCTGCCAAATGTGTGACTTTTGAAAAGGAAGAGATTATGGTTGAAATGTGGGGCAGCGCAGCCCTGTCTGTTCGTGGGGGTCAGTAGAATACTCCGACCGAGTGAGTGAGATTAGTAAAGTTGTTAAAATTCTCTTGTGCAAACTGGGCATTGCCATTCACGCCGATCACGTGACTCTTTACAACACAGCTACTAGATGGCCGCCACGAGGTTGTTCCGCTCCCAAAATGTTCGGCAATGTGCGCTCACAATTGTTCACCCGCCACATGCCAGACAAAAACATTGACATGGTCTGACGGAGCGATTGAAAAACTTTTTTGTTTCAGCGGTGAGCTACCATTTTTATGGCTTTATTGAAAGGACCATGAAATGTACTTTCCGCTGTCATGCAAAGAGTAAGTGTCGGATAACCTTTTGACCCTCAAGAGGTGGGTTAAACATGGATTTGTTTACTGTTAGAAAGAATTTGGCTGCCGGGTTTGCTAGTAGAATCTATACAAGCCTAAATGTATGAGGCTACAATGTCACAGTGAAATTTCAAAAGCTAAATTTGGTTGAAGAAGGTTTATGCTCCTTAAATCGTATAATTTCTATGGCATTCTGTACTGTCAGTGTGTTGCATGTAACTTATGCCACTGCCAGTGGCCACTGCCAGTGCATGTGGCGGTGATAGTACTGTGTAGTTTTTGCCTGCGTTAATTAGTTACAGGTGGCAGCTTTCTATTTCAGCCTGTAGGCTTGCGTAGGTAAATGGATGAGTGCTTGTACCTATTCTGTCTTGCAAATAGTTGTTGCTATTACTGTAATGAATGAGAGATTCGTACCTATATGTACTCTCGTGTGTGTATGTGTGTGTGTGTGTGTGTGTGTGTGCCTCGTGAGTGGCTCGTGTGGCTCGTGTCCATATAGCGTACGCCCAATAACCTAGGTTCTGCTACGGCGCGGGCACCCTTGCAAGGTACCCTGAGGTAATCACAAAGTAGACAGACACGGAAGTATAACGTATAAACAAATGTCTATTTAATTCTTACACAAACTTACAGAGATAAGTTATTAGTTACATATTTAATGCAAGATCTCTAAAAGGAGTTTACACACGCAAATACATTTTCTAGTCTTAAAAGGAGTTTTAAGACATGCGTTTTAAGATGCATACTGTAACACGAATACGATAAGACCTAAACTATAACACGAATACGGTAAAACTGATTTATACTTACATACCGAGAGAGCGAGAGACAGAGAGAGAGATTCCGAGAGTCCGGTTGGTTCTCTCCTCCCTCTCTCTCTCCCCTCTTCTGACTTCTTAGTTAGAAAAGCTTTCTATATATACAATTCTAGCCATGTCACGTGGTTTTAGTAGTGCTACGCTTCCAGGTTAATGTGTCTATGAAACAAGTCTACTGTCTTCTTTTTAACGACAGGGGGAGGGTGTCTTTTGTTTACCCGGAATGTCGTACTTTGGCAGTACCAGTATCAAAACTGCCTATAACGAAGCGAGTGACCAAAAGTGCCTGAGGCGTGTCCCTGCGTACGGATTTTAGTCTCGACATAGACGTGGTGAAGAACCGTGCCTGCCCTGCGGCGTCGCTCTATATCGTAATGACTTTAGCTTCATTACATTACGTACAATGGGAGCTTCCATCTTTAATCTTAAGACACTTAAACATGTACACGCCATCTCGTGGCAACTTTCATAACGATCCCAACGAACATTCCTTCGAGAAGGTTCCTGATACCATCCCTGTGCCTTCCACTGTTTCGGCGCGTATGTGAACACATTTGGGACTAACAGGGTTTACTAGAATCCCACCACTCCACCACAGAGTCACCGCAGTAGACGTAAGATGAGCGCTGTCGCTCCGCGGCACTTGTTTATATACAGTTATATTCAAGCTAGTAGCACATAACCATACATTTACAAGACAGTAAGTATATCTTATCAATAGAGGTGCAACATTACTTAGCATGGCTGTGCTTGTGGAGAACACTGGCTATGGAAGCAAAGGCTTTTTATGTGATTAATCTGCTTTAATCTGCTTAAATAATAATCTAAATAATAAATTCACCATAAATAAAATAACACTAAACTTGGTAATAGTGGAAATTTAAAAAAATAAAATTGGATTTTGGTTTTTGTTTGTGGGTGCAGCTAGTGCTTGATATCATGCTCATCAAATGATACAGCATGCAGATAGTGTTGCTCTAAGGTACGGTACTACTACAGATAAAATTCCTTTCCAGGTTGAATTTAATGTGTTTTTAATAATCTATAAGCATTTTAGTGTAATATTATTGTTTCTTTTAGCATTGATATTCTTTCGAGGAACAACCGATGTTGACAAAGAAATGGAGGAACTGAAGATAGCAGCAAACGCACAAAAAAATGTTGCACTCGTATGTGATTATTTATATGAAAATAGATCTTTCATTTAAGGTCGATAATTATAGTATGATAAATTATTGTGACACGTGGGGGGAAGTTGCCATAATGATTCAAATGTTATTGTAAAGTCCTTTTAAATAAAGCATACTATTGAATTAATGATACCAGAAATGTTTTATCTGAAACATCCTGATACAACAAACAAACTGTAGATTGTTGCCAATTTTTTATAACTGAAGTTACTATTTGTTGTAGTGACAGCTCTGATTATTAGAGCGATTGAGTCTGTGTTTACATAGGGCATATATTATAGGTCATCCTTGATAACTTTCATTTGTATGGATGACAACAAATTTATTGCTGATTATTGCAAAATTATTATCCCCTTGTAAGACTAATGTCGTCTCTACTGTCTAAATGTACATTTTGTTGATTTACATTATGGCAAATCTTTAACAAAGGTTATGAACTCGCATAAGTTCCGACTAAAATTATGAGTCAGCTTTGCAACAAAACAACTTGTGTACTTGTGTAATTATTCGTGTCTGAATCTAAAGGTGATGGAGAAAGAAATGGTAGCACAAAAACGCTAGCTACCACCAGTCTGTTTGCAGACATTAATAATAGCACAGGTCATTATACAGCCATCTTGATACCACATACCTACACATGATATTGTCTTGCAGCTCTCCTGGCTTGATATCTTGAGAGATCCTGGTCTGCGCGCAGCATTGTTCGTCTCCTGCTCAATCCAACTCTCTCTGCAGCTTGGTGGAGTTATTGCTGTACGTACCTTTACATGAGTATTACTTCATACTGAATTCCATATTCCTCATGCAATCAGGGTTCGTAGCGGGTCTTCCAAAGTCTTATAAGAACTTATTTTGCCAAAAATAAAATAAGGGCCTTTATTAGTACTTATTTTTGGTGAAATCTTAGAAAAGTACTTAATAGTCCTTATTTTTTGATTAAATTTTGAGTAAAAGGACCATTTTTAAACATTTTCTGTGTTGAATTTCGGCGAAACGGCTTTTTCATAAAAGATCGTCGGGTTTGTCATATTGATCGCTGAATGCGGAGATTTGTTTGTTCTGTTATTAGTGTACTTTAATAGTCGGTGATCTATCAGAAATCGCGTAAAAAAGTCTTATTTTGGCCTCCAGAAAGGGTCTTATAAGTCCTTATTTCAACATGTGTTTTACTACTATGAACCCTGGCAATACTCTCAGTCATGTCACTGAGTCAGTGACACTGACATGTTACACAGCTAGGGAGGTTTTTCTAGGGTTATGGTATCTATTGCATATTAATAAAGCCGGTTTAAAAACGTTATTCGTTGTGGTTGTAAACATGGCTAATGTGATCAATAATGATATCAGTGAAACAGCCTAATATCGACTCAAGTTCACTGTTCGTGATTCGAGACGGGGAATTTTGTGCTCACAGGTGCTGTATTACTCGACCAAGCTGTTTACAAGTATCAACATCACCTACCCCGAGGCAGCATATGCTAGCATGGGCATTGGAGCAATGAAACTTCTTACAAACATGTTCAGTATGTACGTGTTGGAAAGATGGGGGCGCAGGATTCCACAGCTGGTTGGCACTGGTGGCCAGGCAGTAATGACCGCAATTCTGGCCATCGTTCTCAGCTTTCCGGTAAGTCTAGAGTCGATGACTTTGTAGTCCCGCCATGCGATGTTCACTATTTGTCTTTAATGAATGCATGGCAAGGAGATGTCAGCTGTGACTGGTAAGACTCAGACATTCAGCAGACTTTCGTTAACAGGTATGCAGCTATACATGTCTGCGTAATGCATAAAATTGTCTGTTATTCTATGCAGGGTTTGAATTTGGCACTAATTCAAAACCACTTCCCGACAAGTATTAGATCAATATCCTACTTGTTTACAGAGCTGATCCAACAGGGTTAGCGTAAAAGTTGTGTGTAAATATAACTGGGTCTCACCAAATACATTAATGTAAAATCACAAAACCTACTATTTGGAGCACAGGATCTAACCAGATTAGTATTGTGTGTGCAAACATTGTAATATTGCAAAGTTCAAAAATAAAGCCAGCCGCACACGCTGTGTTTTGTGCTGCGCCATCGGCCACGCGTGGCTGATGGCGCAGCACAAGGGCACAAGGCTGCACACTGTGCTATTTTCTGGTTCGCAACGATGTTACTGGAAAAGGAACTGCACTTGCTGAGTCTGCTTGCATGCATGCGTGTGCATACGTGCAGTCATGCGTGTGCGCATGCATGCTTATGTTCACTCCATATCATTGCTCTGCGGACTTATTTTTCAACACAACAAAGTTCAGGTTTAGGAATACTGTGCTCAGGCTCAAGGTCACTGATACTATTTTTAGAAGCGTTTGTCATTGCTCCAGCTACTAATTTTCTGCATGTTTTTGTAAAACTACATACGATCCAGTGAAAAAAATACACGGGGGCTCGGGGCGATTTAGCCCCCGAAATGCCCAAAAGAGCCCCGGAAATGCCCAAAAGAGCCCCTGTATTTGCATAGAGTTCAATGAAAACCTACTTTTAGAGTGCTATTTTCATGCACGCGAGCTTGAAAAGTAGCCACCGAAAAATTCATTTTTTCCCTGACACGATCGAGTGTTAACAGTACTTTAAACAAATTTGCATTACATGTACGGATACGTGCTGCACTCAAGGTCAAGGTTATTAATTATTGTTCCTTTTGGAAAATATTTGTCATTCATCAAGTCACTGTATTTTCTCATAGATTTTCCACAAAATTCACTCTAAAACAGTAGTATATTATGGAAGTCCTGAAACGACATACGACTTTTTGAGTTTCCGAGTTTCTGAATTTCGTATCGTATATAGTACTAGAGATGGAGGTCAAGCAAGAGTCACACAGGGAAGAATGTAAACACGTGAGAACACGCATTGAGAAACGTTTTTAAGCCGAAAACAGACACATTGCGCATGCGCTATGACGGAGATTCTAGATTTAAATTGGGCCCTATGCTCTCCCGCTTAATAGAACACACATTTACTCTCATGGTAGGGGATTCTAAATTTGAATTATGCTATCCCGCTTAAAAAGGCACACATATTTACTCTCACGGTAGGGGATTCTAAATTAAAGTTGTATTTTTCCTCTAAATAACACATTTAATCTCACGGTAGGCGATTCTAAATTTAAACTGACTTTAATGTCACGGAATAACGCATGTGCAGTGTGTTCATTTTTGGACTTCAAACATTTTCTACGACTGTCTCAACACTTTGTATATATATTGATCAGAAATTCAGAAACTCGGAAACTCAAAAAGTCGCATGTCGGCTCAGGTCTTCCATAGTCCCCGGGTCCATAGTATATGAGCACTATACAGCCCTTTTTTTCCTGACATGAGCTATATACGCAATGTTGTTGGTGGTTGCTGCTATCTATTTTTCCCATCATCTGACACGGGTAGTGTTGTCAATCGGTTGTAATTTCGTAATCGATCATCGGTTGGACCCAAGTAACCGATGATCGTTTACAATCGGTTACTCGGGATGTTGAATGCCTGCGTGTGCGTAACTTCGTGTGCATGTATGTGCTTGTTAGCCCAGTTTACTATTTGTTTTGCACTGTTTACTACTGTGTGTATAATACATGTATGTTAATAAAGGATAACTTGTATAGTAGCGATGATATCTCTGATTCTCATCACTTTTCCAAGTTTTCTTGTTCAAGTTTAAAATTTTGATGATTTTTTTTTTGATGAAATCGATTATGGATTTTGATAACCAAGCGCTTGGTTTGAGCCACTGTTCAACCGATGATCGAGTATAATCGATGATCATGACATCACTAGACACGGGTACAGACCTTGACACAGGTGCATACCTGTGTCTACAGCATATTTGGTATACAGGTGTTCATGGGTTTACTGGGCACTTTTTTACAATTTGGTGAAATTTTCTGTGGCTGTATTGTGCATATCACGATTATGAAGAAATACCATCAGTATCACTATCAGGGGTAGAAATTAACTTTTGAACACGGGAGTCCAACGGACTGGACTACCCTCAAAAAGAGGGAGTCCGCAGCAAAATGAGGGAGTCCGCAGTCTGAGGTTCAATATTAAAGATATTAACAATAACGCATGTGTTTATTTTTAAGATTCATGCGGTTGCACATCTGCCAAATTTTCTTTGGACATTTGCTGAAAACATACGGTAATTCCACGTGGCCGTGCTCCGGAACAAACTAGTTAGTATGGCAGAATTTTCAGGGAGTCACACGGACTCCTGCGTATGTCAAATCAGGGAGTGTTTGACTCCGGACTCCCCTTAATTTCGCACCCAGAGTATTCTCGATCCAAAGTTGAAATTGATATGATATGACAGTGTTGAAAGGATAGGGAGGTTACAGGTAGCTGTGCCACAGCTAAGCCCCATTAGATAACTAGAAACGGGCAGTTGTCGCCAACTACATGTATCCCCCGTGATCTAGTATGAATGGAATATCTCTGTAAGGACGTAGAAGGCAGGTAAAGTTAAATAAGTCACAAAGACAAAGGTTTGTTAGACAACTGGTCTGCCTCAGATGTGCAAGTATATGGAATCTGGTTACCCTAGGAGGAATATTTTCACTGTGAACAGTACCCCCCCCGATGAGTTTTTG